ACACACACACACACACACACACACACACACACACACACACACACACACAGAGAGAGAGAGCCCTGATCAAAGATCGTACACGCAGTGTGATGACTCACTCCCCTGCTTTCCTAGGACACCCGTTAGCATGTGAACACGGAAGCTACACTAGAATACTAGTTTACAGCACAGAAGTTACTAAATATATGTTATTGAGCGATAATTGTGTTGAGTGATCATGTTTCTACAGCACACAGTCCCGTTAGCTTACCCTTTTATTTTTAAAGTACAATTTGGATGCCCAACTGATAAAGTGACTGTGGGTAATAATGATGGCGGCTCAATTGAACTACAAATGTTGTCCCCAAAGTGGGACTCTACTTTAAATGCCATTATTTTTTGACACAGTCGTCTTAATATCATAACTGAAACGTTGAATCAATAAGTAATAACACTGCTGCTCAATTCAACACGCTTTAGCAAATGTTAGCTAGGTCAGTTAGCTGAATTGTGCTACTGTGACACTGTGTTTTTAGCATGTCACAAATTAATATTTAAATGTTTTTATCACAAGATGAAGCGTGAAATGCATTGGAGGATGTTTGTATATATTTTAGTTTTCTGCTTGTTGCCTAATAGAGAGCTGCAGGGGTGACGTATGTATTTTGTAGGCCAACCCGGAAGTTAGCATCTCACTGGTTCCCTCCATCGGAGTTTGGATTATTGCAGATCATTTTGTCTGCGGCATACAAAACGTTTATGATACTTACATGTTTTTGTACAGTAAGATAATCTTGACAAATAAATACAGCTGATTGTTTTTAAAGTGTAAATACAATCACGAGAAGTAAAAAAAAAGCTAACGTTAGGCTATAAAGGAACTACACCACGGTCACATGACTCTATGCCACCACCACTAAACTAAACGAGCCACTTGTTAGCAACCGCCTTTATTCAAGACGCGTACAAATTTTCTTATGGGGTGTTAACTGAAGTATTTTATAACGTAGAACAAAACGTTAGAATCTCTTCAGCTTGGGTTAACCACAGATCTTATTTCAAACATCTAACGTCTAACCAAAAACGTGTTCAAAAAACACAGATGAGGAACCCAGAAGTGTTGCAACAAATGTGAGCTCACATCAAAAGTTTTCACCAGTACAAACATTACCTCTTTTCTTTCCTTTTAACCAATGATATACTATGCTTTATAACTTGTGACAGAAGGGTGCAGGAATGAGTCCTAAAACCCGGAAACCAGTCAGCATGTCAGCACTTGCTGATTGCGTTCACACTTTGTGAAGGTTATCTTGCTGTACGAAAAAAATGTAAGTATTTGTGCTTGTATGAACCAGTGCAATGCTAACTAAAACATATACGTCCTCCCTGCAGCACTCTGTAGTCTTTCCTCACATATTCATGCGTTACGAAATAGAGGAAACACAGGATTTGTGTATTGTTGTTTATCAGTAGGCTCCCGGGTTGCGGTATGGAAATATAACCCGAGTGAAAGGTCTTGACTTTATTTTTCTTGACCACTTTGGTTCTCACGAGCTGGACTTTTGATTCAGAGCCAGAGAACTGTCAGTTGAGTTATCTCAATGTGTGTCCAGATCATGTTCAGTGGGAATATGTTCTAACCAGACTGTTGGCCTGCAGTCAGGAAATAACACACTTCCAGTAACAACTCATACGTTTCTCTGTCTTACAAACACTAAACATGAAGTGTTGTAACAGCATTAACTATGATGACATGATGCCACATAAAGAAATTCGATTAGATGAACTATGTAACATAGATACAACAAATCTTAGATACTTCTACGAGGGCACCTCTGTGGTACTCAGTATTTCTTTATGCATATCTGTTATAACATATCATAAAGTTATGATATTGTTAAGCTGATATTTGATTGTTTTAGTTCTACAAGCCACGAGTTAGACAGACTTCCTGACCTTTCATGAAGTACATGACCTCGAGCAATCGTTTGCGAGCTTTATCTCAATGATTATATATTTCCCAAGCAACAGATTGTCATATTTCATAAGTGTATTCGTGAGGAAAAGCTTTATTTGAGAGGAAGTTGGAACAGTTTTTAATGTATGGAGCTGCTGTGTGATTAGATTGTAAAGGCCATGAGCTACTGGACCAGCATCAAGTTTATTTCTGCATAGAGGAGTCGTAACAATGCGTCCGTCCGTCCGTCCGTCCGTCCGTCCGTGCGACTACTTGTTCCTGCAGCTCAAACGTGTTCCCGTGTGTTTGATGTGTGGCGAGTCCTCCTGACTAAAGACGTGCGGCTGCTCCTCACTTCTCCAAAATGCCAGCTTAACATTTGAAATAAGGAACTCATGGAACGCCTCGTGAATCTGAGCGTGTCGTTAAACACTGAGACGGTCAAACGATGCGTCTTAAATTACATTAGAGATCACTATCAATATGTGAGGATGAATAAGAGGGAAATATGGATAGAATCATGAAGAAAATATGTATTTATTGTGTGACGTTGTGATAAAGTATACATATTCTGTTGTCAAACTTTGAAGCTTGTTCAATTTAAATTGAAGCAGAAGATTTGAGGGCCAGTGTTGTGTCCATGACGTCATAAAGGTTATTAAAAGGCTGGTACAGATCGATGCAGCAGAGGAAGAGATATCCTGACTTTTATTACTGCCTAATACGGGTTCAAGCTCCAATATGCTGAATCCTACACTTCCCATAATGCATCTCAACGACACATCTTTATTACACCCTGCCTGCTTGGTGAATCCCAAACTGCATATCCCCAGTTTGCAACTCAGGCCTCAAAGTTCAACAAGCTAGGAGAGGTGCAGGTAAAGGTTCAGGGTTCAGGAATCAGGATGTACATTTGTAAAGTGACACAAAAGCTCTCTGGAGCTCTCAAAGCGCTGTACACATGACAACGTTCACCTGTTCACACACAACTTCATACTCTCATGGCCATGCAGGGGGCCACCTCCCGCCTCTTAACTTACAGCAAACCATGGCAAGGCTTTTAGGAGCGACTTTGAGTTTAGTGTTTGGCCCCGGATCAGAGCAACAGTGGATTGAACCACTGATCTTCTGATTAGAAGAATACCCGTGTCACCGGAGTCACAGCCGCCCCAACTACCAACAAAATGACCACAAAGAGACACAAAACAACCACAAAGAGACACGAAACAAACACAAGGAGAC